CTGCCTCCCAAGTGCTGGGACTACAGGTGTGCGCCACCATGCCTGGCTATATTATTTTTATTTTATGTGTATGTGTATATTGCCTGCATGTGTACTGCCTTAATCTATATAATTTTTATAATATATATTTTCCCATGGTGGGGTTGGAATACCTGGCTACACTTAGGCTAGGCAAGCACTCCATTACTGAGCAATACTGTTAAAATTAACACAGCATAGTAAGTTGCTTTATGAAACAGAATGAATCTAAAGTATCTTGAGACTAATGGAAATAACCTTTATTGCCATAATCTTATTTTTATAAAGGTCTGAAGCACCCTTTTTAGATTACCCACCTCCAGGATCAAACTAACCTATCTCCGTCTTGTATATGGTATAGATTTTTTTCATGGTCAGTCTTTCATTGACCTGCATTGTTTTCTCATACACCGGATCTTGTCTTGTGCAGTGTGCTCTACCCATAGGTTTTTTATTTTATGTGTATGTGTGTATTGCCTGCATGTAGGTAAGTACACCTGGGTAGTGCATTGCCCACAGAGGACAGAAGAAGCTGTCGGATCCCCTGGAACTGGAGTTACGGACAGATGTTAGCTGCCTTGTGGGTGCTGGGATTCAAACTTGGGTTTTCTGCAAGAACAGTCAGTATTCTTAACTGCTGAGCCTTCGCTCCAGCCCCTACCCATAGTTTTATAATGGATACCTAATGACCTGCTGTAAAACCATGTCTGGGAAGGCCTGCAAGATGAATCAGTCACATCAACCTAAATCATACTGTCTACCACGGTGATTCAGAGGTCTCACTACACAGCTGCTTTTTGGATTCAGGTGATATGGGTAGGTCAGGAAATCATTGCCAATTTTCTAAAAAAAAATAATTGTTTTGTGTCTTTCTCTCTTTCCTCTTTCAGGAAGACCTGTTTCAGCAGCCGGGCCTGAGGTCAGAATTTGAGCATATCAGGGACTGTTTGGATACTGGAATGATTGATAATCTCTGTATCCTTCAGAAATTTGTGTATACATATGAGAATATGAGGAAATTTAAAAGAGAGAAAGAAGAATATCTCAAAGCCAGTCTTATACTGTATCCTCAGCTAACATATTTTTCTTACTTAAAATGTGCATAGACACTGTAATGTTAAGCAATCAGTATAGCAAGAACTCAGGAAGGCCTGACGTACCTGACAAAGGGCATGGTGACTTTGAGATGCCAGGCTGGTATCCTATCTCTGAGCAGAGTCTGACTGAGCAGGCAGCACTTCTGGCATTGCTTGTCTCTGGGCCTTCTCCTAACCATGAGCAACACCATCACCTGTTCCTTAACAATGGGCCAAAGGTGCTAATAACCATTCTGTAGCGGAAGCCTTGCTGCTTTTCCTAGAGAGTCTGCCAGAGCCTGTCATCTGTTATAGCGCCTACCACAGCTGCTTGGAGTGCTCTGGCAATTACACAGCAAGCAAACAGGTGAGGGGAAGCACTGAGCATCAGCACGCACATGTTGCTAGCCCCAGGCCCATGAGGCCTGGCAGAACAAAGTAGGCACAGCCTAATTTTTAAGCAGTGGCTTAGAAAATTAACTTTCCTTCTCAAACCTGTTCTTCCTCTCATGTCCCTTTTTCTTTTAATAGCATCACCTTTAATTCCAGTGACTCAACCCTGAAACCCGTCATTTCTGAGTCCGCCTCCTCTCCTCCCACATGCCCATTCTCACTGATCTATTGCTGAGCCACTCTTCCACCCTCACTCCTACTTGGTGCAGTGCCTTGTGTTCACTCTCCCTGTGCTCATTCCTTTGCATGCGTCCCTCAGATGTGGACTTAAAGCTCTTACCATGTTGGACAAAAAACATACTTAGCTCTTTGTTTATTGTCAGTTAATGATTTATTTTGATCCAGGGTCTCTGTGTAGCTGTCTGTCCTGGGACTCTGTGTGGCCCAGGCTGGCCTCAAATTCGCTATCCTTCTGCTTCAGCCTTCCACATGCCAAGATTAGGCATGCACCATCACACCTACCTCAGTGTTTTAGTTAAATATGTGAGACTTTCTCTGATTTAGCTCTATGGTTCATTTCTTTTTTTTTTTTAGAATTAAAAAATTTATTTATTTTTTAATTTAATTTTATGTGTATGTGTGTATTGCCTGCATGTAGGTAAGTGCACCCGTGTCGTGCAATGCCCTCGGAGGTCAGAAGAGGCTGTTGGATCCCCTGGGACTGGAGTTATGGACAGTTGTTAGCTGCCATGTGGGTGCTGGGATTCAAACCCAGGTCTTCTGCAAGAACAGTCAGTGTTCTTAACCGCTGAGCCATCTCTCCAGCCCTATGGTTCATTTCTATAATAGATAAAATAATCTAGAAAATCACCAGTAATACAGGTTCCAGAACCTCAGTTCAAATCCATGGAATTAGAATGTCTTTTAGAACCTACTTTTTCCAGCTGTTCAATTGATTCTGATATGCAGATGCCAAGGGTGGGGGGAGGGGTGGGGAGGGGTGGTATTTGATTATAGCCTGAAATAACCCTGTAGGCTTAATGCCTGTTAAACCAGTTAGATTCCTGCCAAAGTTGACTGGTGTTCTCTCTACTTACTATCTTGCCTCTTCTTGCCACCTTTACACTGTATTTGCCCCCAGTACCTTAGTCTTTTCTGCTACAGGTCTAGTTTTTGTCTTGTATTCAAGAGCCAACTAAGGTACCTTAATTCCCTTAAGCCTTCTGAGAGCATGGAGTTAGAAGTCTGGGCTCTAATTCATGTCATGTTTGGTCTGTACCTCCCTTCTGGCACTTGTGCCAAGTGGTGAGTGATTAGCTTCTGTTTGCATGCTTACTCACTTTCATAGATCCTATGCACAGCTCCTGGAATATAGCAGGCAGCATGTCAAATAATGGAATAAGTAAAACCACAAGTCCCTCCTCTCCTTCTTCCAGGTTATTTCTACTCTCCCCAAATTCCACAAAAATGTCTTCAAATACCTGATGGCGTTTTTGCAAGAATTGCTGAAAAATTCAGCAAAAAATCATTTGGATGTGAATATTCTAGGTAAGTAGCCAAGCATCTAGGGCAAGTATCACTACAGAACCACTGTGAGAAAGGATGCTGGAGAGGGGCTAAGTCCATTATGACAGAATTAAAATTTAATTTCCTCTCTCTCATCTCCCCCCCTCCTCTGTCTTCTCTCTTCTCTCTCTCTCTCCTTTCTCTCCCCCCACTCCCACCCCAGAACTGAAGTTTCAAGCACTGAGGAAAGTGTTTGCTTTTTAAATTTTTAAATCTGAGACAAGGTCAGTTATGTAGCCCAAGTTGGCTTCAAACTTACTATGTAGCTCACACTGTCCTTGGACTCAGTATCCTGTTTCACCTTCCTGAGGGCTGGGGATTACAGGTGTGTGCCATTATGCCCTGTTCTGGGCAGAGCTTATAACTCAAATGGTTTGTTTGGGGCTGGGGGTATAATTCAGTTGTAGAACACTTGCCTAGTGTATGCATGATCTTGGGTTCAATTCTCAGACCCACAAGACAAAAAAAAAAACAAGTTGATTTTTATTATTTGTGTGTGGTATATGCCTGTGTGTGTGCAGGTGTGTTCACCTGTGCATGCTCATCTGAATGCTAGAGGTTGACTTTGGGTGTCTTCCTCTGTTACTACCCACCTTGTTTTTTGAGACAGGGTCTTTTGCTGAACCTGGCTGACTAGCAAGTCCCAGGGATCCACCAGTCTCTATTCCCACAATACTACAGTTATAAACCTGACACACCCAGCTTTTATATGGGTATTAGGATTTTACACTCAGGTCCTCATGTTTGCACAGCAAGCTCTTTACCCACTAAGTCATCTCCCCAGCTCCTATTCATTTTTTGAGCAGGGTCCCACTGTGTAGTCCAGGCTGGCCTGGAACTCAACAGTGCTGGGAATACAGACTTGCACCTCCACATCTAGCTATTTGCTTTTTCAAGCAGAAAATACTGCTTTGGGGTACTCCATCCTTTTTCTGTTATAAACCTGACACACCCAGCTTTTATATGGGTATTAGGATTTTACACTCAGGTCCTCATGTTTGCACAGCAAGCTCTTTACCCACTAAGTCATCTCCCCAGCTCCTATTCATTTTTTGAGCAGGGTCCCACTGTGTAGTCCAGGCTGGCCTGGAACTCAACAGTGCTGGGAATACAGACTTGCACCTCCACATCTAGCTATTTGCTTTTTCAAGCAGAAAATACTGCTTTGGGGTACTCCATCCTTTTTTTTTTTTTTTTTTTTTTGTCATTTTGAGACAGGGTCTCCCTGTAGCCCCAGGTGGGGAACTCGATATATAGACCATGCTTGCCTCAAACTCAGAGAGCCACCTGCCTCTGCCTCCCAAGCACTGAGGTTAAAGGTGTGCGCCACCAGGCCCGGCCCATTCCTCGCCTTCTTACCACCCATGTGGCGCCCTCTTTTGCTAAGTGTTGTTTTCTATGTTTTTGTGATGCACAGCAAGCATATTTGGCAGCTTATTGCTTCGAAACCCAGCTGGTCACCAAAAGCTTGAAGTAACAGAGAAGAAGAAGGCTCAGGAATTTATTCACCACTTCCTCTGCAACCCACTCGAGTGAGCCTCAACACGGACACCTCCTCTCCTGTTGTACCCAAGGCAGTCAAAATTGTCAGCTCACCTGTTTCAGCTCAAGAGACGCCTTAATATGATATGAGGCCACCTGAAAGCAAGAACGGCAGCTACCTCTTTTTTGAGTCTAGACCTGCCCCTTACCCATGCCATTGGCTAGCACTTCCATTGCTGAGTTGTGAAGTCACAGGGGAAACCCATCACAATAGAACTGACATTTGATGTTCAGCTTTAGTTATTTAACACAAATAGAGCGCTATTAATTTTTATTTAATTTTTTGAGAATATTCTTTGTTCAACCCACCTCCAGGGCATATGTAGTCAATACCTTTCCTGTAGACTGGGCTGAGCATCTCCTGATCAGGTATTTGAACTAGCTCAAGTCCTGGAAGAATGAGTTGGCCAACAGGAATGCAGGTAGATGTTCCTGCATAAACAAGTCTTAGCCATCTCAGATGCTTCCACTGTCCAATCTGAGGATGTGTGCGTGCATAGGGCAACTTCTACTCAGATATGGCTCCTTAAGTCGAGGCTGAAGTCTAGCTTACCAGCACTGAAGAAAGCGGGTTCTGGTGAAATGAGTGGGACTTTACAGGCCAGAGTGCACCCAACTGTATATGATGCATCCCCCTCTCTCATGTATAACATTTTAATGATAAATGTATTTTTAACAGTGGTGATTTTGGTTTTATTATTTATGTGTGTGTGTCGGGGGGTGTATGTGCACATCAGTGCAGAGGTCTGAAAAGAGCATGATCCCCTAGGAGCTGGAATCATGGCAGTTGTGAGCTGCCTGGTGTAGGTGCTGGGATGGTCTTCAGGAGCAGCAGGCACATGCATCTTAACCGCTGAGTCATCTCTCCAACTTTTCTCCGTCTCTGTGTCTCTCAAAGATGGGAGCTCTTGGGGACTGGAGAGATGGCTCAGTAGTTGGGAACACTGATTGTTCTTACAGAAGACCCCGGGTTCGGATCCCAGCACCCACATGGCAGCTAACAACTGTCCGTAACTCCAGTTCCAGGGAATCCGACAGCCTCTTCTGACCTCTGCAGGCATTGCACGACACAGGTGCACTTACACCCAGGCAATACACGCATACACATAAAAATAATAAAAATGGTGGAGCACGGCTTTAATCCCAGCACTTGGGAGGTAGAGGCAGGCGGATCTCTGTGAGTTCAAGGCCAGCCTGGTCTACATAGTGAGTTCTAGGACAGCTGGGGCTACAGGGAGACCCTGTCTCAAAAAGACCAAAAAAAAAAAAAAAAAAAAAAAAAAAAAAAAAAAAAAAAGGGAGCTCTTGGCAGCTGAACCTTTGTGGCTTATGTATCAGAGGCCAGAGACATGCCCGCCGGAACTATTCAACATTTCCCAAGCAAGAAGAACTGTGTGGTATAGCAGTCTTGATTTGGCTCCTGACCGAGTCTTTAACTCTCAAAGTTCTAGTGAAATAACTCATGGAAAAAAGAAGCAACAGCTCTTACAGGCCTAATAAAGGTACATGCAGAATCCCTTCTTGGGCTTAGAATACCATTATTTCGTGGTTTCAAGGGCCAGTAGGTGGCGCTGAGCATCCCAAGCGCAAAAAGCCCGCAGGGGAGAAAAGTTGGGACAGTCTGCGTGGGCCGGCAAGTGAAAGGGGGCTGGGCGTCTTAAGTGAGAAGGGGAGAGGCACAGTCTGGATCATCCCCGCGGCCTTCCGGGCCCACTTTTCCTTTCCTGACCCTCACAACACGTTAATGCGTTGGCGTATAAGGGGGCGCAGTAGAGGGGAAAGCCACGACTTCGCGGGCCCGCCCACGGATCTGGAAGCGGAGGGCTAAGTGGGCCCTTGCCCTTGCAGCTGTGCGCAGCCTAGGACCAGGATATCAATGAGTCTTGACTGCCGTTGCCACAGTTTCGTAGCGCCCGAAACTTCCCGCGAAGGACTCGGTTGCTTCCTCCTGCCGCACAAGTTCCCAGCCACCGCCTCCAGATAGCCCCGCCCCTGATTAGCCCCGCCCCCACGTAGCCCCGCTCCTCCACATCGCCAATTGGAAGCGCAGGCTCAGCCTTGGATCGCAGGAGCCAATCGGAAGCGCCAGAAGAGGCGGAGCTCACCGGCCTTCCCTTCCTCCGGAAAGCGGAAGCGGAAGTGACGTTGGGGAAGGTGGGGGTAATCATGGTGCCGCTAGGGAGGGGAGAAGCTGCCGCCGCCGCCGTTGCCGGGAGCCGCGGAGGTAAAAGGAGAAGCTAGACTCGGCTGGGGCTGAAATTCCCCGGGGGGTCGCGGGACTTGGGCTCCTTGCCGAAGGCCTTCCCGGTAGAGACCTCGTTCCTCTCACCAGAGGGACCCCACCCCTCCGTTTCCATGGGGATGGGTATCCAGCCCCCCTTCCTTGTTTCCATGGAGATCCGGACCCTGCCCCTTTGCGCCCAGTTCGTTGCCCCCAGTCTGTCTTGGGTTTTTCTGTGTGGTCCGGGCTTCGGGGCTTTCCCGGCCACGTTCCCTCGCCCAGCCTCTCAGGAGTGTCCGGTTCGCACTCCTCGGCCATCCTCAGCCCTCCTGGACTTGTTTGTTACCGAAAGTTGGTTTCCGCGTTGCCGCCGAACGTGGCGGGGCAGCCCATGGGGGTTGTCTTATCTCTTCTCTCACATACAGAGAAATGTTCATTTCTGGGGTTGCGTAACCAGTGTCGGGCTGGTTCCTCTCGGATCACATCCCTTGACCTGTGTCTGCTAACCACCTCTCTGTCTGGTCGCCTCACCACGTAAAGGCTCATTCTCTAACTTTGAGCCGAAGAAAGTGCAGAGCCAGGCTGAAAACTAAAAGTGATGTGATGTGCTGCTTATTTTTAAATTCTCCTTTTCTGTCTGCCAAACTCACATTTGTAGATCCTATGTGGTTTTTTTTTTTTTTTGGTCTTTTTGAGACAGGGTCTCCCTGTAGCCCCAGCTGTCCTGGAACTCACTAAGTAGACCAGGCTGGCCTTGAACTCACATAGATCTGCCTCTACCTCCTGAGTGCTGGGATTAAAGGCGTGCGCCACCACGTCCGTCTAGAACCTATGTGTTTTTAAATGAAGAATCACTATTCAGACCATGAAAGCGTCAAATTTGGTAATTTACCCAGATAGTGTATTTTCTCACGAGAATATATCTTCAGAAAAGACTTTTATTTGCATATTTTTCATTCATTTTGTTGACACGTCCTGAGCTCCTAGCTGTCAGTGTGCTCCTGTGTGAGGTACCTTTCTTAAGGGCAGAAAGCGGACTTGTGCTGTACAAGTTAGCTTCTAGTCCACACCATCTTCTTTTAGGGCGTAAACATAAGTGATTTTCATTCTCTATGCCTTCTTTTTTTTTTTTGTCTTTTTCAGACGGGGTCCCCCTTTAGTCCCAGCTGTTTTGGAACTCACTATGTAGACCAGGCTGGCCTTGAACTCACAGAGATCTGCCAGCGTCTGCCTCTCAAGTGCTGGGACTAAAGTTCTGCTCCATGATGCCTTATTTATTTATTTGGGTTTTTTCTTTTTATTTTTGGAAACAGGGTCTCCCTGCAGCCCCAGCTGTCCTAGAACTCACTATGTAAACCAGGCTGGCCTCAGTCTTACAGAGATTCGCCTGTCTCTGCCTCCTGAGTGCTGAGACTAAAGGCTTGCACTACCATACCCGGCTTCACTAGCTATTCCTTATTAAGGATTAGCTCCTCGCCCCCATCTCTTCTAGAAAGAAGAGAATTAATTCACACTTCTATTGTTTGAGAGGGTTGTACTTTACACGTAGTATCTCTTTCACGTATGACAACTTTAAGAACAGGAATTACTAGTCCCATTGTACACTTAAGAAAAACAAAGCACAGAAGTTACTTAAGCAGTAGAGGACAACCAGGACTTGTAGATGATTGTGTTCAAAGCCTTGCTCCTGCTGCCATTGTTTGTATGATGTATACAGCCTCATGGTGTGACTTGGAGTTATTTGAGGAGTGCCTCATTTAGGACTTATAGCAACTTACAGCCATCAGTCTGTCTGCTTTTCTTTAGGTTTATCAACCCATTTATGAATGGCTAACTCCATTCTTTGGCAGAAAAGAAATACTGCTTTCCCTTGATATGAAAGTTGACATTTTACAATATTTCCAGGGAAGATGATTTTTTCATTTGCTTTGATTTGCTCTTTAAATGAGAGGGAAAGTGAGCCTTGAGGTGGTTAGGACAGTGGATCTTGTGTGATGGCACTAACTCTGGTTTTGTCTATTGTAGAAAGGCCATTACCTTTCCATTTCTCACAATTGGGCTGAGCACAGCTGAACCATGGGAGAACACAGTCCAGACGACAGTATCATCTTCTTTAAGGGAGAGGAAGATGATCTAAACCCAGATGACAAGATGCTCAGGTTTGTGGATGACAACGGACTGGTGCCTTCCTCATCTGGAACTGTTTATGATAGGACCACTGTTCTTATAGAGCAGGACCCTGGCACTTTGGAGGATGAAGATGACGATGGACAGTGTGGAGAACATCTGTCCTTTCTAGAAGAGGGCGATGAGGGCTTCCTAATAGATCAGGAAGCGATGTCCCAGGGTTATGTGCAACACATCATCTCTCCGGATCAGATTCATTTGACTATAAACCCTGGTTCCACGCCCATGCCAAGAAATATTGAAGGTGCAACCCTTACTTTGCAGTCGGAATGTCCAGAAACAAAACGTAAAGAAGTAAGTAAAGAGCGTGTGAAGGACTAGTGTGGCTTTGGGGCAGTTTTAAACTGGATGTGAAGGAGCTCCTGCAGTAGTTTTGCCTGTCAGCAACACATATGCATCCTATTACTGTTGTGACTGCTTTTAGAATTTGTGGATTGTATGGCCACATTGTAATTTAGGAATACTACATATCTCAATTTCCTCTCCAAATCATAAATAAAATAGAAATTTCACTGAAGTGAAAATAGAAATTTCACTGAAGTAAATTCATATTTATGTTGCTAAAGTAACTCAGTGTGGCTTCTCTCTTAGCAAAGTGACTAGATTTGTGTATAATAAATAACTAGAACTATGCATAAAGGATTTGTTTTGGAGACAAGTATCTTGAATGTGATTATTTATTTATTTTGGTCTTTTTGAGACAGGGTCTCCCTGTGGTCTCTCTGGCCTGGAACTTGTAGACCAGACTGGCCTTGAACTCATAGAGATCCGCCTGCCTCTGCCTCCCAAGTGCTGTGATTAAAGGCATGCACCCTGCAGGAATGTGCTTTATTAACATAGTGAATATTTAAATGAATAATAAAGGCCAGTTTTTATAATTCAGGCAAGAGACCACAAATGAAAATAAGCTAAAAGGAGTTGTCACATTCATATTCAGGTAATGTGAATGAGGTAATGTGTGTTGAGATACCTTCAAAACTATTTACAAATTGTCATGGTGAATGTTAGTGAAATAAATGATATGACTTAAAGTTAGTGGCAGACATTATCTAGGAACTATTACAGGTTAATTAGAAGTAACAGGCTACCGGTAGTTACGGTGCAGGCAATTAAGTGTCAGGTGTTACCAAGCAAAAATAAACTCTTTGGGTGTTTTGTTGTTCAGACTGGGTTTCCTTGTAGCCCCAGCTGGCCTGGAACTTGCTGCCTAGACCAGACTGGCCTAGATCTCATAGAGATCCACTTGCCTCCGCCTTGCAGTGCTGGGATTAAAAGCGTGTGTAAGCTAAATCCTTAAAGGAAGTATTTTTCTTTTTTGATTTAATGAATGTCTAGATAGTATATGTGGCTCATACAAATGGCTTATGCATGATAATTTGGCTCTTTTTTTTTTTTTTTTTTTTAAATCTTAGAATCTCAGAATTAAGGCTGGGGCTTTAGCTCAGTGGTAGAATGCCTGCCTAGCATGCAAGAGGCCCTGGCTTTGATCCCTAATAACATTAAAAAAAAAAAAAACAAAAAAAAACTCAGAGCTGGAAATACCCTTAAGAGTGACCATCATTTCCTGCCCCTCCCCCTCCCCCCCCAGTAATCTTTGCAGCATGTCTGACATCTGTTCTTTGGTCTGTGCTTGAACACTTCGAGAATGGTAAGACCATGGGCTTTCATAGCTCAGCCCAATACATTTGCTGACCTGCTCCGATTACGAGAAAGCTTTTGTTGTGTAGGACCAAAGTGCCTTCCTGCATTTGCTGCTCCCAAGTTCAAGCTCTGCATTGCAAACATGCATTTAAAGGTCATGGGCTTCTCTTCACTTTCTCTGGTACAGACTGACCACCTCCACCCAAATATCCTTATGATGGTATTTTCCCCCAGTCTCTCATTGGCTTGGTTGCCTTTAGTTGAATGAATTCCAGTTTTCCAAAGTCCTTTTTAAGATCCAGAGTTGAGCATAATCTCACCAGTGACTCAACAGCTTTGGATGGTGCAGCTCTTATCTCTTTATCTGGACACTGTACCACAATGACTATGTCATCTGAATTTTATTTTCAACATCTCATTGTTGGCTTATACTTGGAAACCTCTAGAATAGTGGTTCTTTTTTTTTTTTTTTCTTTTTTCTTTTTTGATCTTTTTTGAGACAGGGTCTCCCTGTAGCCACAGATGGAACTCACAGAGATCCGCTTGCCTCTGCCTCCCAAGTGCTGGTATTAAAGGCATGTGCCATCATGCCTAGCTGAGAATAGTGGTTCTTAACCAGGGGCAATTCTGCCCCCCAGGAGACATTTGGTAATGTCTGGAGACAATTTTGGTTGTCATACTGGAGAGGCACTAACTGGAATCTGGTAGGTAGAGGCTAAAGATGTAGTTAAATGTTTTATAATGCACAGTGAAGCTTCCTACAGCTTTATCCCAAATGTGTGCAGGGCTGAGATTGAGAAACACTACTCTATTATCATGGGAGCAGCGGTCAAGTTTTGTGTCATTGAATGGAGAGATTTGTTTGTAAACCTTAGGAATGTCTCACTACTAAATACTGTCTTACTGGTTTCAGCCCAATATATGAGCTTGTAATAGGGGTTCATTTGACCTCAATGAACTGTTTTCTGTTGTTGTTTTTATGAATTTATTTTTATTTTTATGTGTATGAGTGTTTTACCTGCACCTGTATGTGCATTGCTCATGGAGACCAGAGAGGGTGTTGGATCCCCTGAAACTGGAGTTATGGATGGTTGTTAGCTGTCATGTGGGTGCTGGAAACTGAATCCAAGTCCTCAGAAAAGCAGCCAGTGCTCTTAACTGCTGAGTCATCTCTCTAGCCCCTTGTTTTTGTGACATCTCACGTAACCCAGGCTAGCTTTGAACTTGCTATGTAGTCAAGGGTGACCTTGAACTCCTCCTGTCTTCACTTTTTTTGTCTTTTTTGAGACAGGGTCTCCCTGTAGCCCCAGCTGGCCTGGAACTCAATTTGTAGATCAGACTGGCCTTGAACTCGGAGATCTGCCTGCCTCTACCTCCCGAGTGCTGGTATTAAAGGCGTTTGCGCCACCACACCCAGCCCCGTCTTCACTTTTCTAATGCTAAGATTAAAGGTGTGCACTTGGCTTCACAAACATTTGTAAAGCAAAGTCCTGCGTGGTCCCAGTTAACAGTGATTTACAGGATGGAAATAGGAATACTTTATGGTAGTAATGGTAACATTAGGCATAATGTGACAGATGTGAAGGAGCAGTAACAGTACTGCACTTGGGAGCCCAGAACAGCTCACCTGTAGGAATAGGCAAGCCTTCAGGATGGTCTTGAAGAATGTGTTCCATTTAGGAGAACAGCAGGGCGAAAGTATGAGAGACAGAGACAACATGAACAAAGAAATGGAGGTAAAAAGCATAGGCCACTTAAAGGGATAACCAGTTATTCCATTAGTACAGAGTTTAGTACAGTTTTTCTTTTTGAGACGGTCTCAGTGTGCAGACCAGGCCTTCCTCAAACTGGAGATCCTCCTGCTTCCCTAGTGCTGGTATTATAGGCATGTACCTCCATACCTTGCTAGTACATTTTTCTGTAAAGGGCTAAACAGTAAATATTGACTTTACAGGTTGTATGGTTTGCTAGTCAACTCTTTCATTGTAGCACAGAATTGGTCACAGTGAGCTGGGGATATAACCCAGCCTGAATTGAATGCCACAAGGCTCTGAGTTCCATTCCTGGCACCACAGTAAAATAAGAAGATAATATGTAAGATAGTAAGATGATGGAGAGAGCATGACTATGTTACAATAAAACTTTATTTACTAAAACACTGCTGGTTGGAGTTGACTTACTAGCTGTAGCCAACCAACCCTTGGACTAGAACATAGGGAGTAGCAGGAGATAAGGAAGGAAAGATAGCAAAGATCCTAACTAGAAAGCAGTGTTCTCATGCGGAGGGTTTGAAAACACTGGGAGACTGTTGAAGATTTGTGAGCCAGGGAGCAAAGTGATTGGAGGAACACTCTAGAAAGAGTGCTCTGGCAGCAGCAGGTAGCTTGAAGGCAAAGGGGAAGTGGAGACTTAATGGCCATTTAGGTGACACTTGTAGTGTGTATAGGTTTGGAGTCTCATTTAAGTTTGATGAAGGAAAGAATCAAGAGACCCAAGGAACTTGGTTTACTATTGGAATTTGAATAATGAGTCCTGAAGTGAGTGATTGAAAAGTTTTGAATCATACTCACTGAAAGATTCATCTATTTTTCTGAGCATGTTGGGTTTCTACTAACTGATGGACCCAGTAAAGAATTTAGTAGTTGAGAGTCCACCGAGGTGGGTGTTTAACAGAGGCAATTCAGATTTACACTCAGGCTGTGTGCTGAGGAGAAAAGGGGCTAGCTCTGCTCTCACCTTCCACCACTCTACTCCCTAAATGAAGAGTTCATTAACAGGAATGGGGACAGGAAGAGGAAAGTTTTGGGGGCACTTGATAAGTTTGGTTGGTGTGTATTGAACATGTAATTCTTGACAGTAATGAACACAAATTGAAAGCCCACTGGAAATGTGGGTCTGAAGTCAAGGAAATGACGTGGATTAGAATATGAACCTTTGAAGGGGCAGCAGTTCAAACTCTAGGCAGTTAGCTCAAGGGAGAAGCTAAGGACTAGGAAGACAAAGAGGAACCAGAAATCACAGTAGTCAAAAGAGATGGATTGAATGAATGTACTGTGCTGGAAGATGAAGGAATAGGGTCAAGAAACAGTTCCTCACAGAGGGACTTAGGAGCCAGAGGAGCCACTAGTTCCATTACTTGAGCAGTTGTTACTCACATCTTGAAATGGCCTTCAGTGGAGCCCTGCAGGCTGAAACAAGAGTTTGAGTTAGGAAGGAGTGAGTGGGGATAAGGGAAGAGGAAGCAGGAAGTGCCAAGTTTTGTTTTTAAAGTTTGTTATTAGTTGGGGTTAAAAATAAGTAATGAGAGCTGGGTGTGGTGGCGCACGCCTTCAATCCTAGCACTCAGGAGGCAGAGGCAGGCAGATCTCTGTGAGTTCAAGGTCAGCCTGGCCTACATAGTGAGTTCCAGGACAGCTGGGGCTACAGGGAGACCCTGTCCCAAAAAGACCAAAAAAAAAGTAATCAGACAGTAGTAGTTCAGGGACATTGAATCTTTTCCGTTTTTCCAAAGCATTTAAAGTTTGAACATAAGTTTAGGGCCTAACTTTAGGCCATCCTCAGTTAATGATTACTTTGTGAGTGTTGCATGAGCAAATGTTTGGGAACCAGTAAGCAAAACCAAGATAGAAGCTTGTTTATTACAGAACTTATCA